TTTAAGGAGCAAAAACCTTAAATTAAAGTGGAATTGGAGGATGAGCAATGCACAACTGCCCTCTCTCTCACCCAATAAACACAGAAAGCCCTTAGGACAGGAAAGCCCAGCCACTGAGCTTCTCTCTTCTTCCCAACACCAACGAGGTTCTGCACTCAGTTCTCTCCTAGGAAACGGCAGCCATGGCAACGAAAGTAGGATTTAAAACTTGCAGCAAGTGTGTGTGAGGGGGAGGGGAGGCAGGGGAGGCGGAGGAGGCGGCGGCGGGGACAGCCCTTCTTCCTCATCTCTCCAGCCTACTGGTCACCTCTCGCTGGAAGCCTTCCCATCCGATGCTGGCTAGGGGGGGAAGAGACAGGAAATAGATAGGATTTAATTTATAGTCGTGTGTGTGTGTGTGCGCACGCGTGTACATGTGTGTATACATGCCTAGCTGTGCTCCTACAGCCAGGCATGTATATAGATATCTATAAATGGTCTACTTTAAACTATGCAGGGTTTGGGTTAAGTTATTTGGCTGGTTTCTCTTCCATTTTAGAGACAGGCCTATTTTCAGGAGGCTGCCTGGTTCTCTAAAATCTAGAGATTAGCCACAGCTGACAACACAGGGAGCTTCAGGTCATTTGCTTTCCAGTGATTTTTCCTCTGGATGAAGGCTTTGGTCTGGTTTCTGATTGGTGATTTCTAAGGGCAGAGATAATCATGACAGAATTGAAATCTCTGGAACACTTGGTTTGAGGCTGCAGGGCTTCAGACTGTGTTGGAAAGGAGGAGGCAGAAAATGGTTCGTTTACCAGGTCAGCTGTGAGCATAACTTCTGCCCGAAGGTTTGGCTCCCCATCCTGAGCTCATCAGTGTTTAAATTTGATGGAGACTGTCCAGCCAGCCGGGATGATGGCTGGTCAGTTTCTCTGTCCTAACTTCGAACTCCCCCCCCCCCCCCATGCTGCACCTCAGGGGTCCCCCTTCCCAACGTAGCTTTGCACCACAGAAGCACAGTCTGGCACCCTGTCCAGGGGTGACTGGACTAACTGGAGCCTGGCGAGGAAAAGCTGGCCGAGTTTGGAATGCACTTACTGAGGGGAGCTGGGCTGCCCCTCACCTCCTCATCCTCCTGAGTGGTCTGCTGCCTCTGAGGGGTCCGTGGCCTCCAGAGCTCAGAGGAAGCCGGTGCCAGCGCCCAGGGGCCTGGGCAGAGTGGCCAGCCTCCCGACCGACCCGGGACAGCTTCCAAGCACAGCGACCTTCCCCAGGATGGATGGCCCCCCCAGGTCTTCTCTTGATCCCACTTCGGGCTAAAGATACTCTGCTCAACCAGAATGGTTTTCTTATCTTCACTTTACGAAGGAGGATTTTTCTCAAAACAGCTGTTGCTGCCGGGGGGGAGGTAGGTTTTATTTATTCCCAAAGTTTATACCCAGCCTTTTGACATCAGCTGAGTTGCCCTGGAATTGGATCTTCCTTTGGCAAAGTGTCAGTAAGCCCGTGTTACTTCTAAGCCTTACTTCTCCTCTGCTGCCGGAGCCGAGCCTCTCCTTGAATTTGTTCGGCCTTTTTTTTTCTTAATTAACAACAAAAATAGGGGGTAAGGAGGGGGTCCAGAGGGAAATATACCAGCTGTTCTAAACTGATGACTCTATGCTCAGCACCCTCCACCTGGAGAGATCTCAGTGGAAGGGAACTCAAGAACAGCCTCGGACCTGCAGAACGCCCCCACTCAGCTAATGACCCAGCCCCTCCACCCTCCACCCCATGACTTCTCTGAGTCGCTATCCATGGATGGTATAAGCTCGGTGCAATAAAGCATAGATCCTGAAGAATAACCACAGAGGCTGAATTAGAATTATGAAATTGTACATCTATAAATAAATGTTTATAATGTGAGAGACCAAAGTGTGTTTTGGTGTGTACTGAGCTCATGGGATTTATGATCAATCCCCAGTGACTGAGATAAAAACACTTAGTCCACTTCACCCAGTTGTAAAGAAAGTGCTTTATGTCTTTGAAAAAATTGATTGAGTGTCCAGGAGTTAGCCAGGCAAGGGCATTCTCGTGCCCCCTGAAAGCTAGTGCCTGAAAATGCCTACACTAGAGGTCAAAATAAATACCTCCACATCATAAAGAGTGGAATCTTTGGGGATTAAACATGTTCGTTCCAAAAAGGAGGCATTGTGCCGTACCTGTTCCCACTGAGGTGACCTTGCCAGCCCACCCCAGCCTGGCTCTTGTTGAACCACACCTGGGGAGCTGACAAGTAGCCTGAGTCTTCATTTTATGTAACAGGCCATTACTTCCTTAGCTTTGCTGATTTGACTGCTAACTGGAGCCAAACTCCAGTTTGAGATCTGGAATGGCCAGCCCAGCTCAATCACAGAAAGAGCGACAGTCACTCTATAGCCTATTGAGTCTTAAAATTCTCTTTCGGGTCTTATCTGCCCAGTTGGTGGGTAGGAATGTTCCTTCCTTTTTGAAGGTAAAGAGCTAAGGGGAAGGAGCTAGAAAAGGACAGGGCAAAATTCCTCCCAGAATCCTAGTAGGTGGGTGGGCAAGCCAGGCCCCCATCTTCCCAAGGAAAGACCCCGGCGCAGTTCCAGCTGCAGAGCGTCTGAACACTCAGAGTTGGGGTCGTCAGGCTGGAGGTGGCCCCCACCACCTGTTGTGCCCCGCTAGAATCCAGCAGAGCACAAGACTCCTCTATCGAGCGTCGAGGCTTATTGGAATGAACCGGTCCCGGCTCCTGCCTGGCACTCTCCACACCACCACGGGCGGCCCCCAAGACCTACCGGGCTGTATCTGTTAAAAACTCTACCATCGCTCCTAAACCCGCCCTGCGGAGCCAGGCACCCACCATGCCTCACCCCCTGCTCTCCTTCGGGCTAACCACCCTAGTGCATTTAACACATCCTGGAAAGTGGCGGGCTCCCGGGCCCTCATTTCTCCACTAAAGGCACCGATATCTGTTTCTTTCTACTCCCTCCATTTCCCCTCCCCCGCCTGCTCCTCTGGATATGCTGGGGTTCGAGGGCTAACCCCCAAGCCAGAGTGGAGACAACCTCGGGATTTCTTTTCCCGTCTCTCCCAGGCCCGGAGGGAGAACCCAGAGCTCTCTCCTGGCCCCTCCCCTCCCTCAGCTGGCTCCGAGAAGTTCCGAAAAGTAACAAATGTTGCAACCCGAGCAAGCGATTCACATGAATGGAGCTGCGGCAAAATCTGCCCCGGGCTCCTGGAGACCGGAGTCAGCCCGGACTGGGGGCTGCCAAGAAGCCCCGCCCCGCGCCCGCGCTGGCCAAAGAGATGTCGGAGCAGCGATCGGGCCACCGCCAGGGCCAGCTCTCATTGGCCAGAGCCTCTGCCAGGCCCCCTCCCCCTCCCTCCAGCGCACAGCCACAGGTCCCCGGAGAGGGGGGCGCGGGAGGAGGTGGGAGGGGACCGGGTTGGTTGCTGGGGGAAGGTGGCAGGATCTGGAGGCAGGACTTCTTTCTTTGGGCAACAGGCCGTCCCTCACCCCCTAGGGCACGGCCATAGGTCCCCACGGGGGCAGGAAGAGGTGGGAACTGGGTAAAGGTGGCAGGCCGTCCCCCTCCCAGCCTCCTGTACATCCTCAGGTGGGGGTGGGGTGACCGGAGGAGGTGGGAGGGGACACGGTTGGTTGCTGGGTGAAGATGGCAAGGACTTGAGACTCTTTCCCTGGGCAACCATCCTCCCTCAAACCTCTGTGCACAGTCTCAAAGTCCCCACGTGTGCAGGAAGAGGTGGTAGACCGGGTAAAGATGGCAGGCCCTCGTCCCCCACCCCCATGCATACCCACAGGTTGGGGGTGGGGTGACAGGGTTGGTTTCTTCCCGACGCTGGCAGGGTCTAAAGACAGGACCTCTTTCCGTGGGCAACCACCCCTCCCCCACCTCCCACAGTCGTGGGTTCCTACAGGGACAAGAGGGGGCAAAATATTAGGTATTTCTCTGTGGAACCCCACCCCCTCCCCAGCCTCAGTGCACAGCCTAGGTGAGGAAGCAAATCTCATTGCCAAAGAGAGGTGGCAATGACCTTCTTCAGGGATTCTCCCTCGAGCCCTCCCGGGTAAAGGTAGCAACGCCTCTTCCCAGAGCCTCAGTTCGGGACCACAGGCTCCCATGTGGGGCAAGAGTGCTAAGGGTGCCAGCCCTATCACTTATGAAGGGACCAGTGGCCAGCTGACTCCCTTCCCCGGGGACTTGTTCTACACGTGGGTCACTTCCACCCCAGCTGCAGAAATCCTGATAGTTTGGGGTAGAAAGAAGATGCAGATTGATGAGTGCCCCTCCCAGGTCAGGAGACCGACTTAGTCCACCGAGGCTTCCTGGGAATCTGCCTTCCATAATCTCATCTGTCTCCTGTCGTCTAGGGAAAAAAAGTAAATGTGGCACTTGAAACCACACTCCCCCCCTCTACCCCTTCCCCCAAAGGCCAGGGCAAAGTCACCTGTCTGCCTGGGCCTTTATCCACTGGTTTTATGAACTGGGCTCACTGCCCAGATGTCTGGGGCCAGGTACACAAAGTTACTCTAATACTTAGGTCAACACTGTTTTTACATGATATCACCATTGCTGTCAACTCTGGGCACTTCCCTGAATCACTCCACGTGATGCCGAAGATGTCATAGTTTTAAATTGAAGTAGGTCGTTTCCCAAATCAGGAAACTGAGACTCATGGGAAGGTAGCTGTTTTATAGGAGAGACTTGGTGAGATGCGATGAAAGGATTATGGGTCAGGGCTTAGGATGACTGCCCAATCACCATCAACAAATACCTCAGCCCTAACAGAGGAAGAGAAAAAGTCCAGCATCATCAATCTCAAAGCAATCTAGTCCAGAGCCATCATTTCACAAAGACCCAGAAAGGATCATCCATATGTAGTG